TTCTCAAAAATCTGTTGTTTCTTTTGTCATTATGAGGTGTAAATTAAAGTGAAAAAGAAGCAACTTAAAATACTTGTTGTGAGAGAGAAGAATTAGGTCTGAGTCTGAATACATTGTACATAACCAAGTAGGTTTCTTCCCATTCCATATTCTGCCTCTCATAGAAAGGCTAAACTGCACAGATTAGTTACTGCCTCCCAATCTCCCAGAACTGGCCCAAGTGACTTTGCATTCCTGCAATAAAATAATTATACCCTCTTTGACAAAATTACCTAACTTGGTCTACTCTATCCACTCCGGGTTCCTTAAAGGGGAATCAAAGAGCCCTTTTCTCAAGTTCCTACCCACAGCATATCATAGACTCAAAGCCAAATCAGTTAATTTCCCCAAATTACCTTCACTCAATTTTGCAGGGAAAGACAACAATTTGGGATCTCCTCTTACAGCAACTCATGACAAAAGGAAAATTATGATCCATGTTTCAATATTTATATTAAGCAACCCCAGGATAGTTGTAGAGCCCAGACACAATACAAAGTAAATGACCATCTACGTTTCCCCCCCAAACAATTACTATCCAGTTATCATGGACAAACTAATATTAAAATTGCACACACACACACACACACACACACACACACACACTTCACCACTACTCAGCAACAAACATCATTAGAATTGATGAAGCGACCTAGAAATGTGTTTCAGTGTTTTCAGATCATGGAACAGTAACAGGGTTATTCACCAACAATCATGGAACAGTAACAGGGACAGTTCTATATTGATCAGTAAGGGTTACCCCCCTGTTTGAGATTACTTCAGTAACCATATGTGAGACTCATGCATATGATTCATGTGCAGTAGTCACGCTCTTAGATATTTACTAATAATCAAACAGTAACGGAAATATTTACTAATAATCATGAAACAGTTACAGGGATATTCACCAATAATCATAGAACAGTTACAGGGATATTCACAGAACAGTAACAGGAACACTCACCAATAATCAAATAGTAACAGGGATATTCACTAATAATTACAGAATAGTAACAGGGGTTATTCACTAATAATCAAACAGTAACAGGAATATTCACTAATAGGGATATTCACTGATAAACAGTAACAGGGATATTAACTAAAATCATAGAACAGTTACGGGGATTTTCACTAACAATCATAGAACAGTTACAGGGTAATTCACTAATAATCATAGAACAGTAACAGGAATATTCACCAATAATCAAACAGTAACAGGGATATTCACTAATCATAGAACAGTTACAGGGTGATTTACTAATAGGCATAGAACAGTAATAGGGATTATTCACAAAATATTTGCGTGGGGTTGAACCAGGCACCTGTTCAGCATTCTATACAGCAACGCTAGGCTATGCAAGACCGCACTCATTAGCTGAGAGTATCAGCCAAGTGCACTCAGCCAATGAGCACGGTGACTCCACTGGCTGTGCTTTATTTTACAGAAACATCTGGCTTATTTTGCAGAGTTAAAATAAAAAAGGCTCCTTGATTCAAAGCAAATTTGTCAAGCCCTGCCTTATAGATTAGAAACCAGTCATCTCATAACTGGTGATTTGCAGTCAGTATTTAACAATGTTGTGACAGAGCTTGGTTGGTTCACAATCAATTTCTCACTTTATTTTCACTAGTAGACGCTAGTCCATGCTACCTTTTAACTCTGTCACTTCTGTTAATTGTTTGAATACAATAGGGTCAAGTTATATTTAGCTAGCATTCAACACCACCTGATTCTCCAATCCACAACTCTTGCATGTCAGTTAGAGTCTCACTCTATGGTTTACAGAGAATAACTCCTCATATTCTCAATGATTATCTGCAGATGCACAAATATTTTACAAATTAGCAATCTTATTTACTGCCTCTCCCTCTCATCAAATAACTAACAGTTAGAATGCTATTTATTGATTTGTAGGATTACTGTGACCTGATGCAATTGCTACTATAGTAAGGAAATAAAATATCTAGAGAGGATTAGGGACTTCCTCCCTCCATCTACCAAGAATCAGCTGTGACAGGTTGAAATTCTTGACATATCTACCACATCACACTCTTCAACCTAGATTACACATTGATTATGCTGCAGGGAAAACCACTGACATAAGAGAAATGGGATATATTTATGGCAGACCATTAGGTTTAACCCAGCAAAATTCTAAGGACACCTGTTCTGAAAAAGCAAGCCATGCAAAGCTTAATTATAAAATAAAATCTGTCCTCTATTCAGCCAAATTATTCCCACAAAAATCTATAAAATAGAAAAAAATAATATAACCACCACCACACAACGCCTACAATACGGAGAGATAGGGATAAAACCAGCAGTATAGCCTTACTGTTGGTAATGTGCGGAGTTTGGGATTTCCATGTTACCAGGACTATCTACCATTCTTGAATCATATCCCCAGGCCACTACTCTTCTCCCCCACCACCCCCACAGGAAGCGAAGAGTTGTCCATTGTAGTGTAGCAATTGAATGCAGAAGCGCTGTGCCTCGCCGTAAATAGTATAATACAGAGTGGAGAGTTCTATCTACTACATACAGCTGAATGCTTCTGTTAAAAATAAAATTTATTGCATTCTATGCCCCTTGACTTCACATTATATATTAACTATGCATAATTATTTGTACTGCTGTTGTCAGCTGGTAAATCAATCAACCCCTATTTCAACAAACAAGGGAGACAACATACATGGCACAAAGTTCTTGGTGCATTGGGTTTAGCAAACCCTGACTTAGAAGGAAATTATAGTTTAAACCAAATTTGCTCTGGTGCTAAGAGAAAAAAAAAAAAACAGCATTGTTCTTTAGGTGGTCATGAAATCTATGTTCCTGGGTTTTGTATGCCAAAAAACAATTTAAAAATTAAGCAATTAGAGAAGCACTCAAGGCACCAAGTATACGAACGGTCATGGTCCAAAAAGTCTGAGATGTAATTTGAGCAGTTTACAGCTTGTATGACGGGGATTCACTGGGAGCAAAAGTGAAATTTAGCATTCTTTGTCCAACTGTGGATAACAATAATAGTTGAGTGGATTTTAGATTTATACTCTCTGCACATGTTTGCCTTCCAAAAGAAAAGGTTTTTAGAACCAGGAGAGTCCCAGTTTATGTCAGACCAAAAAGATTGGAAACATTCCAAGTACCATAAACACTACTGCCCACTGTAGGGATTATAAAACCATGAAAAACCCTGGCATCATTCCAGAGAAATCTGTGGACACGTTTTAAAGTTTGACACAAACCTGGTTCTCACCAGGTGCCCATGCTGCTTCCAGTCTTCTCAGGATAAGTTGATTGTTAATGTAGACAGTCATTCATTGGCTGAGATTGGCAGCACACCTCTCCCAGTCAATAAAGGAGTTCCTGCCACAAACAAAACTTACATCTGGTTTGTGCGGCCGCCCAGTCGACCCAGCCAAGTGTAAATCTGTGCTAGAATGGTTTGACAGATCATGCTTTGACAACACAAGGGCACTTCCTGGCAACATAGCCACTACAGTGTTCTGATATTGTTATGGTGCTTGGCATATTCCTTTATTCACTTGAGTTCCAATAATAAAGATGACCAGACACATGCAAATGTAACGTTAAATCATGTTCAAGTCTGATGCTTAGACATTTTCCTTGTGCAGAAACAATTTATACAAATATAGTTAATCTGTCACGGATATTATTGATCTAAATCAGTAAGTGCTAAATTCCAATAATTTATGATGTACAACTCCAACCAACGTAACTGCTCTTAGACCCTCTCCAGCCTGGCTAACCATGCTTGGGAATACTTCCCCAAGACGGGTTGCCCCACTCTATGATGCTAGAATACCAGCCTAATTTGCAGGTTAGGGTAATTTTAACAGAATGACAACACTCCATTCCGAACCAAAACACATGACTAATCAAGGCAACTGCAACACACACCTTTTAGTTGCTGTGACAGAAGGAGTTTCTCCTTCTTAACTGTTGACACTCACAATAGATCTCCATGCCAACAACAGATTTGCCAGGGGAAGGATAATGTCATGTCTACGTATTTATGTCATATGTGTCTTTATGTAAAAAGAAACACAACACAGCAGCGAAAAATTCTCCTAGTACGCGGTGTACTATAGTATAATAGTATATGAAACTGACCCCTATATTTTAATATTATGAAATGTACTGTGTACAAGAACAGCTACATGTTAAAGAGGTTTTGGTTACAGAAACAAACATCCACCAACCATTGTATCAGAGATTTATAATCCCAGAACCAAAAAGTGAGTGTGAGCTTTGTGCGACCAGAGCATCAGCAATGATTTACCAGAAAGCAAAACCCACTGACAGCACTGAGCACCATAGAGATAGTGTGTAGTATCTGTCCAGACACAGGCTGTATTAACCCACCACAGAGCAGGAGTACAGAGCCCAGCCTGCCATAATCCCCACACAATGTATGCAGATATACCTGAACCCAGGGCTGTCAGCTCACTGTCACACCTCAGCCAGCCCAGCTCACAGGGACCTGGCAGCCACCATCACTCCATGGCTTTGTTCAGTCGCCAGGTCGCCAAATAAACACAATACCAGCATGAAAACCGAACCCAGATCTCACCCCCTTCTCCTTTTCGTAAACAGAGGATTGCAATGACGTCAAAGAGTCGCGACTTTCTGACGTCAGGCTTCTTACCCAGGAAGTCGTCGCCTTAGTTGCACTGAAAGACTAGATCGAGGGACGCCACCGGCGCCATCTTGGACAGGAACAAAAGTGACGTAACGCTGGGTAGGACGGGTCGGCGTGCGAAAGCAACACCGGGAACCAATCATACGAAGCAGAGGGGCGTGGCTACGGAACTAGTGCGCTGATTGGACCGCAACGGAAAATACGTCACGTAACAAAGCGCCCGAATCCACGCCCACTTCCGGTATCGCTAACCAATTGCTGTGCGGGTATAAATAACTGACATCACATAACGAAGGGTCAGGGACGCCAATCAAGGCAGTGCTGTGCGTCGATTGGCTGAAGAGATTTAGCATCAAAATAAAGCGACAGAGACTGCTCGATGTCCAGTGAGCGGCCCGTCACACCGTACGGGATGGCATTGACGGTGGTTCGTGATCCGGTATAGAAGCGAATGGAGACCGGCAGCCCGCCCATGGCGCTCGTGGCCGTTGTGGAAGTTCTAGAGTCTCTCCGGGAGATCACCGGATGTCGCCCTTAATCAAAATGGCGGATAGTGTTTCTAAGAGGGCTCCGCCCAGCCTCTGGAAGGATGTTTGGGATCCCACGTGCGCCATGGCGGTGTGAGGCGCGCTGACTGGGGGCCTCGGGTCACGTGTGCTGGGGGATGGGGAGGTTGTTTCGGGATACTCGGCTGTCACGTGATGCGTTGTTTTGCTGTCTGACAGCCAGTGACAGGGAGCTCCCAGCTGATCTCTGCCATACAGGCTCACAGTGTACGTCATGGCCTAGAGGAGGCATTGCTCAGTATGTCCTCAGACACTGATATTACACAGTGTTTCTTTAAACCATACAGGGCCTGGCCATGGTAGCACCATAATCATTGCACAGAGCTGGAGAGTGCCCCTTTAACCCCTTAGGGACACATGGCATGTGTGACGTGTCACGATTCCCTTTTATTCCAGAAGTTTGGTCCTTAACCTCTTAAGACCACAGGGCGTTCTATGCCGTCCTTAAGGAAGTGGCTCTAAACGCCGCAGGGCGGCATAGAACTCCCTGCGATATTATGTACTTACCTGGGAGTCCCTCTTTGGCCCCCTTGGGCCATGTGATCGCAAGGCATTGCCAGCAGGGGGAGTGCCTGTAATGACTGTCTAAAAATAGATTTCCAGATAAAGATTTATACTGGCCCCGAATATATTTGTATAATGTTATCATATCCCCTCTGAGGCGCAGTTTTTCCAAACTAAAGAGATTTACATTTTTTAACCTTTCTTAATAACTAAAATACTCCATTCCTTTTATCAATTTTGTAGCTCGTCTCTGCACTTTTTCTAGTGCCATGATATCTTTCTTTAGAACAGGTGCCCAAAATTGCACAGCATATTCTAGATGTGGTATTGCCAGCGATTTTATAAAGAGGCAAAATTATATTTTCATCTCTAATTTATGCCCATATTGCTGCCTAATTTGTTGTCTATAACAATTCCCAAATCCTTCTCGTGTGTGTGGTTATCCCTAGTTCACTACCATTTAGGGTGTAAATTGCTTGTGCATTCTTAACCCCGAAGTGCATAACTTTGCATTTATCTATGTTAAATTTTAGTGCCCAGTCCCCCAATCTATCCAAATCCCTCTGCAGCAAGGCAATATCCTGCTCACATTTTATTAATTTACAAAGTTTTGTGTCATCTGCAAACACTGATACATGATCTAAGCGTGTGTATATGTACTGTTTTACTCGGGAGACTTTGCTGAACACAAATATTAGTGTTTCAAAACAGTAAAATGTATCACAGCGATATCGTCAGTGAATTTTTTTTGCATTTTTCACACACAAATGGCACTTACACTGACGATATTGTTGTGATATTTTTTACTGTTTTGAAACACTAATATTTGTGTACAGCGAAGTCTCCCGAGTATAACCCCCTTCAGGACGGAGTCAATAGTGCACGTTCTGATCAAAACGTAAACAAAAACTGGAATTTGCGCTATATGTCTGTTCAACCGTAATTCACCTCTTTCATATTAAATGCACCCACACTTATTATATATCATTTTGTTCAGGAGAAACAGGGCTTTAATTTTTCATTAACTATTCATATATGGAAAATAATTTATTATGAATAAAATGTGAGAAAATAAGATTTACTTTTTTTTTACATTTGTATTTCCGTCTGACATTTTAGCTGTGAATGTCATAATACTGTTAGGTTTTACTGCAAAAAGATTCATATTTATATTTATTTGTGTGTGTATGTTTTTTTATATATATATATATATATATACACTATACAATTTCTGGCACTCTTCCCAAATAATAATACATACCAGGTGCTTCTCTGTGCAAAATACTATAAACAAAGCAAAAAATGAGAGCACTCCATGGATTTGGTAAATCAAATTACTGTATTCAAATAGCACAAAAAAAAACTGACGTTTCGACCGTCTAGCGGTCTTTATCAAGATGCTGTCATATACAAAAACCTCAAATATATACATAAACGCTTGTTAAACTTACCCAATCACCAAGTGCTCCCTGGACACACAGGGAGCACTTGGTGATTGGGTAAGTTTAACAAGCGTTTATGTATATATTTGAGGTTTTTGTATATGACAGCATCTTGATAAAGACCGCTAGACGGTCGAAACGTCGGTTTTTTTTTGTGCTATTTGAATACAGTAATTTGATTTACCAAATCCATGGAGTGCTCTCATTTTTTGCTTTGTATATATATGTGTGTGTGTGTGTGTGTGTGTGTGTGTGTGTGTGTATGTATATATATATTCTCACACACGCATCTGGATATATATTAATAATACAGAATGCACACTATAACAATCATAGATATCAGTCTAAATCTTTAATAAATATGCAAATAACAAAATTATATACTTTTTGTTCGGAAAGGAACAAAGTAACAGCACCAGACAAATAGCAATCAAATATAATTTATCCAAACCTTACAAGCCTCACGGCAGAAACACAAGCCACCAATTATCCCTTGGCTTGTGTTTCTGCATTGAGGCTTGTAAGGTTTGGATAAATAATTTTTGATTGCTATTTGTCTGGTGCTGTTACTTTGTTCCTTTCTGTACAAAAGTATGTGTGTGTATATATTTTTTTTATTTGCATACTTATTAAAGATTTATACTGATATCTATGATTGTTATAGTGTACATTCTGATCTCTCTCTCTCAAGCAATTTCTCCCTGGCACCTGGGATCTATCAGCCCTTTGCTAAGCCGCACAGGAAACATTGAAGCTGGCCGCCGTTTGGAGTAGTAACTTCCTACAGTTCCACTTTGCTCCCTCGCATGCGGTTTACTGACATGACCTCACTCCGGCCTGGGCATCACTACGGAGAGCGTGCAGGGGAGCAGAGAGAAACTGCAGGAAGATTACAGAGGAGCCCCACTGGACACCAGGGAAAGATCCACTCCGCTCTCCCAAAGTTATGAAGGCAGGGTGGAATTAAATTAAACATAGCAAATTGTGACTGTGTGAGAAAATGTTTGCGTGTGCTTGTCAGTGTATGTTTAGGTACCCGCCTCCTCTAATTGCATGAGAAAGGTGTTTTTTTATAAACTCTTTTTGAGGCTGTACCAGTTTTGTCGATGAGTTTATCAAGGGCAAGACAAGCTCACTGATAGATAGATAGATAGATATATATATATATATATATATATATATATTCAAAAATATAGAAAGCCCTTGCATTCATGCTTTAGTGAACTGATAACCGGGTGCTTAAAATCCAGGAAAATTCAAATATATTCAGGTAGTGATCAGCACTCTCGTATTTTTGAAGGTTTAAAACTTACAGTTTATTAATGCCTGATCCTGATGAAAGTCCCTGCTGGGACAGAAACGTTGATTTTTATTTTTTTAATGGATGATTAATAAACTGTAAGTTTTAAACCTTCAAAAATCCGAGAGTGCTGATCACTATCTGAAAAAAAAAAAATATATATATATATATATATATATATATATATATATATATATATATATATATATATATATATATATATATATATATATTTTGTTGTGGTTTTTTTTCTCTCCCCCTCCCCTTACACACAGACTGACCCACACATACTAACCCATACACACAGACTGATCCCTACAGACTGACCAATACACACACTTACCAGCAGCTGCCTGGATGCAGCTGTCTCTCCCCTGCGCTGCTCTGTGTGATCAAGCAGGAAGTTCCTCCCAGCACAGTGTCCCCTCTGTGCACTGCCACCGGTCCGGAGGGCCCATCAGGCAAGTGTGGGAACTGACAGCACTGCTGCTGCAGCTTGTGAAGGGAGACTCGGTGCACCTTACTTTAATTTCAATTGGGGGGGCACTGCATGATGTAGAGGGGACCCCCTCCCCCTTGGTCACAAGATTTCAGTTAGGCCCAAAATCTCCACGTGTCATATCTAAGTTACAGTATTTAAATCTATAATTAGCATGTGCAAAAACCTGAAACCGCGTTTCAACTTCTAATCCTGTGGATACTGAGGGGTGTGCGGGTACAGTTAGGGGATGTATAGTCTATAAAATGCCTCATATTCAAAATTCCAATGCTCAGACCTGGACAAGAGTCGACTGAGACCTGGCCTGTTAAAATAAACCTGTTTGGTGCCTGGATTGACCCTTGTCCGGACTCTCTGTGTGTGACTTCATCATTGTTTTCCTATAACATTATATTTAATCATAACATTATTCTTAACTGTTAGATTTACCAGGATTTGGATCCCAATAATCTAACATTTATTAAACAACACCTTTTTGTGAATTTTAATCTGTATGGGAACACTGAGAGGTGACTATCAGATTTGGAAAAATTCCTGAACTCCACCATAACACTTTTTGCCTCCGATTTGCCATTTTATTAAAGGAAATTTTAGAGGATATTCCTGAATTAAATATAAATTCACCTTTTACAGAGTCTTGCTATGGCCGCAACTCTGTCTGCTGTGGGATCATTGGTTATGGGGATTTCTGGAGGAATGTCAATGAGCTGTAGTTATTATCCTGGTTGAAGTAACCTTTTAATTCATGGAACACCACTATATACTGGGTTTTTAAATATCTATATGTATATATAATCTTAAAACCATGATATGGAATTAGAATCCAAGGGGAGGACAGAAAATTGATTTAAGAGAATGGAAGAATGCAATTGTTCTCCAGTTCCATCCAGTGATGCTGACTCTATTACCTTTTGGGGTCTTTGCATACTGTCTACTTCACTTACGCTGCTTTACTTTTCCTTTCTATCAAATTTTTTTCTTTTGTATGTAGGTTTTCTTCTTTATTACTTTTAAGAAAGGATCAGTGGGTGTGAATGCATGTTTTATTGTTTGACTTGGTCATTTTAAAGGACCACTCTAGTGCCAGGAAAACATACTCATTTTCCTGGCACTATAGTGCCCTGAGGGTGCCCCCACCCTCAGGGTCCCCCTCCCGCCTGGCTCTGGAGAGAGGAAGGGGTTAAAAATCTTACCTTTCTCCAGCACCAGGCGGGAGCTTTCCTCCTCCTTCCTGGCGCATACAGCCAGTTCATAGGAAAGCATTTTCACAGTGAGAAGCACGCAAGCGCCTCTAGCGGCTGTCAGTGAGACAGCCACTAGAGGCTCTAGAGCAGGGGTGTCAAACATGCGGCCCCCCAGATGTTTCTGAACTACAACTCCCATGATTCCCTGGCTATCTGTTTCATTGAAAGAATCATGGGAGTTGTAGTTCAGCAACATCTGGGGGGCCGCATGTTTGACACCCCTGCTCTAGAGGCTGGATTAACCCTCAGTGTAAACATAGCAGTTTCTCTGTAGTTGTAGTTCAGCAACATCTGGGGGGCCGCATATTTGACAACCCTGCTATACAACCAAGCATTCTGCTAGCATTTCTGCTGCTTTATTACATTGTCTGCCTACCTTTAAGTCATCTGTAATATTCACCCCTAAATCCCTTTCCTCAGATGTAGAGGTTAGGACTCTATCAAATATTCTGTACTCTGCCCTTGGGTTTTTACGTCCATGATGCATTATCTTGCACTTATCCACATTAAAGGTCAGTTGCCACAACTCTGACCATTTTTCTAGTTTACCTAAATCATTTGCCATTTGGCTTATCCCTCCTGGAACATCAACCCTGTTACATATCTTAGTATCCTCAGCAAAAAATCATACCTTACCACCAAGACCTTCTGCAATATCACTAATAAAAATATGAAAGAGAATGGGTACAAGTACAGATTCCTGAGGTACCCCACTGGTGACAAGCCCGTGCTTCAAATATACTCCATTAACTACAACCCTCTGTTGCCTGTCACTCAGCCACTGCCTTACCCATTCAACAATATTGGAATCCAAACTTAAAGATTGCAGTTTATTGATAAGCCTTCTATGTGCAACAGTGTCAACAGCCTTACTGAAATCTAGGTAAGCAATGTCTACTGCACCACCCTGATCTATTATTTTAGGTACCCAATCAAAAAAATCAATAAGATTAGTTTGGCATAATCTCCCTGAAGTAAACCCATGTTGTCTCTGATCTTGTAATCCATGTGATTTTAGATGTACAGCAATCCTATCCTCTAACATGGTATCCATTACTTGCCCCACTACTGAAGCAAGGCTTATTGGCCTATAGTTGCCCGACTCCTCTCTACTACCTTTCTTGTGAATGGGCACAACATTCGCTATTTTCCAATCTTCTGGGATTACTCCTGTTAACAATGATTGGTTAAATAAATCTGTTAATGGTTTTGCTAGTACACCACTAAGCTCTTTTAATAACTTTGAGTGTATTCCATCAGGTCCCATTGACTTATTTGTCTTTACTTTTGACCGTTAAAATAGAACCTCTTCCTCTGTAAACTCACATGTAACAAATGACTCATTGTCCTTTTTCCTAACTGAGGCCCCTTTCCTTCATTTTCATCGGTAAATAATGAACACAAATATTAATTGAGGCAGTCAGCTGGACCTTTATCCTCTTCTACATACCTTCCTTCTTTTGTTTTTAATCTAACTAATCCTTGTTTTACTTTCCTTTTATCTTAGCCTCTTCCTGTCTAATCTTATAGATCACTCTGGGTTTTTTTTTTAATAATTACTAAATGCTAAGTTTTTGGTTTTTACTATTTTGGCCACATCTGTGGACTACCACAGTGGTTTATTTTTTTGCTTTTACTATGCCGAATGCAATTTTCTGTTGCCTTCGGCAGTGCAATTTTTAAATAATCCCACTTCTCTTGGACTCCATTTAAATTGCTTCAGTCTGATAACGACTCCTTTACACATTCTAATTTTAGAAAAGTTTTTTTTTGTTTTTTTAAGTCTAAAACTTTTATTTTTGTATTGTGTGACTCAGTCACGGTTCTTATATTAAACCACAGTGACTGATGATCACTGGATCCTAAACTTTCACATACAGTAATATCTGATACCAAATCTCCATTCGTTAACACTAAATCTAGTATGGCCTCCTTACGAGTTGGATCCTCAACGGCTTGTTTTAGAGACAATCCCAGTAGAAAGTTTAGAATATGTGTGCTCCCGGCACAAGCAGCTATTTTGGTTTTCTAATTCACATCAAGAAGATTAAAGTCACCCATGATGATAACTTCCCCCTTCATTGTCATTTTAGCTATTTCATCAACTAGTAGATTACTGTAATTAACTCTATTTGTCCTGGGGGCCTATAAATCAAACCTATACGAGTTACTGTGTGATTATCAAATTCGAACGTAACGGACTCTATGTTTGCCTCACTAACTTTTATTAGGCTAGATTTTATGCTAACCTTACCCATACAGCGCCACCCCTCCCCCTTTCTTTCCTTCCCGGTCTTTTCTATATAAAGAGTACCCTGGTATTGCTATGTCCCAGTCATTTTTCTCATTATACCATGTCTCAGTAACAGCGACTAAATCTACATTATCATTTGCTATTATTGCCACAAGTTCATGGATCTTATTTCTTAAACTGCAAGCATTTGTAGACCTGACTCTAAGCTTATCACTTGCTACAGACACCTTCTGTCCTTGTTTTGGGGGGGCGATTGGATTGATGTTTTATCACCCTTTTGCCCCCCTCTTAATTTAAATACATCCTAGCAAAACCTCTTAACTGCTCACTGAGAAAATTTGTTCCCTTTTGAGAAAAATGCAAACCATCTTTTTTGTATAGTTTATTTCCATTCCAAACAGAACTACCATGAGAAATGAAGCCAAATCCTTGCTCCCAACACCATTCACCAAGCCCCAAGTTTAAGTCCCTAATACGCATCCGCCTGTCGTTCTGAGTGTTATACACAGGCAGAACTTCAGAGAATGACCGTGTGTAAACAACCTGCTGTATATCATTGGCAAAAACACTAAAAACTTCCTTTACCTCTGAAACCTCATTGCGAGCCAAGCCATTGGTCCCTAGCTGGACAAGTACATCCAATTCCCCTTCCTGCTTTGCTCGCTTAACAATTTTACAAATACGTCTCCTGTCTCTGTGAGCAGTAGCTCCGGGAAGACATCTCCACACCTCTTATGATAAAATCCCCCAACAACTGCTTTCTATTATGCCTCACCATAGTCTCCAAGCCTGTCTCCATAATACCACTACACTCGGTTCCTGAGCCGGTCTCCACAACACCACTACACTTGGTGCCTGAGCCAGTCTCCACAACACCACTAGATGAATCTTACCTGTAACAGTAAAAAAAAAAAAAAACTTCGCAAAATCTTAAACAGTTGAAGATTCTGTAAACCTCTCCAGAATATCTCCAATCACACACTTTGAAGCAGCACTTAGATGTAGCAACCAAGCTACAAATATTCATTTAACATACCCATCTCTGTACTAAAACATATGTACTAAAAAAAACAAAAACTATTTTTGGGTTTGATCTTACTATTTTTGGCTGACTTCCTTGTATCTTTTATATATGATGAATCTGGTTTACTGAGAAATGTAAATTTCTGGATACTGTACTGAGAAATGTACATTTCCAATATTTGTATATAGTTTATTCCGCTTCTTCTCACTAAAGTTTTATGCCAGGAAATATGTTTTAAAGCTGCCCTTATCTTATTGAAATTTGGTACTTGAAAAGTATGTTTTAGCAAAATGCCTGTGTATTTGTATGATTCCGCTTACTGAACTAAACTCGTGCCTCTCTCATTTATGGCTGGGTAATTTAAATCTCCAGTTCTTAAAGAGTTGCCCAGATGTGCAACTTTACCTGTTTGTGCTAGCAGCTGTACTTCTTTGTCCATGTCCACATTGGGTGATTTAGAAATCTCGTAATGGTAAAAAAATAAAAAAAAATATCCTTCCTACACCATTACTTTAGCCACTCAGTAATCTCTTGCTGTCTTTCTACTTTAGCGCATGTCACAGATAATATATTTAGAACGCTCTGTTCTCATAGTTCTTCAGACACACGTGGCTGCCACTAGAGTGCCGTCAAGGAAAGAAAGGTATGCTGGCCACTAGGAGCACTCTACATATCTGTAGTGATATGCACAGACTGACCAGCAAACTTTGCAAGTTCCTCTTTCACAACTTAGCTATTTTAAAGACTCCCCTTTTATCATAGAAAATTAAGCACCCATAACTCTCATGGTTTTATTAGCCTACTGTTTGGACATAGTGGTCGAGTAGAATCTTAAAACTGCTCCAAAAGCAATGCTCGGCTGGCAGTACCACTATCTTTTGGCCCTTAAACACCTACCTTATCCTGCCTAACTGTTGCTAGTAGTAGCTTCCCCGCTGCCTTCCTTCTCTCTCAAACAGCCTTTTGATGGTTCGTCCTGGCACTGGTGAGATGACTCAACACTCTCCCCCCCCCCCTACTAACTTCTCCCCTACAAAGTTTGTACTTTGCAAAGTGCAAGTCTCCATCGCTTTAAAAGTGGTCCCAAGCTTTGCTTCAATGCAACCCTTTGGCCTGTTGCTGCCAACGCTATGGGTGGGTGCACAGTAGAAGTGTGACAAGTGGAAGCTGGCACGGTCCTAGCCTCTGCACAGGCATTGATGCTGTGTGAAGGGGAGAGGGAAGCAGTGTCTCGTGAGTGTCAATTTTTTTTGAGCGGATACTAGCTTGAAATATATCCGCCAGGTATAATGGTGCTACAATCCCTGCCTATGGCTTTACTTGATATCTTATGAGAGTTCCAGGTGTTATAAAAATAGCAGCGATATAGTGTATATTTAGTACAATGAATGAGTTCTATTTGCGGCTGTATTTTGTTTCATACCACCTAGAGCTCTCACACAGGAATAAGATATCAAGTAATTCCACAGATGGGGATTATACTGCGCAGGTGCATGTATTTGGTCCTAATTATCGGCTCCAAAAAAAAAAAAAAAATTGACACTCAAGGAGCGGCTTCCTTTTCCCCTTCAGACCGTATAAATGGCCCGAAAGTAGCGACTCTGGATTGTCCACGCTGTCTATCCACACTACGAACAAACACCAGAGTCCTTGTATCGGTATTTTGTACCACAGGTGCTGATGCGGTTCGTACCAGGGGTTATGCTGGTAACTGGCAGTTACACTGGTGATAGTGTTAAGTGTGTCACTGCAACGAGAAGAGGAACACCTGGTAGTTGGCACAGTTCTACCAGAGTTTGCTGAAATAGGTGGTCCACTATAGGTTGTAGCACTGGCAGATGCTACTATCGGAGAAAGTGGAGAGGCAGGGGAACGGTGCATGCTAGCCGCTGCTGAATAAGTTGGACTCTTCCTCAGTCAGACGAAATGCAATTCCTACATTGATGGGTTTAAAGTGATATCACCTTTAGCAATAAAAGACGATGGTGAGGCTTCTCGTTTAGTTCCTTTTTAGAATTCCTATAACGACTAGGAGAAGTGTGTGACAATGACACACACCATTTTTTTTCCCCAATGGAGCTATTTCTAAAACCAGCATGCAGAAGCTGCATATTGCATGTCTGCAGCTTTGGAATCCCTCCCTTTCTTCCCCAGCCCACACTTTCTAAGGTTGTTCAACTCCAATCAGTTCAATTAAATATTTGCAAGGCAGGTGCTCTGAGCAATTGCTATGTCTTGAGTGTTTGGAGCATTCCTTTGAATCACATGGAGGTTAGGTAGAGACCCTAGATTGAAAAGATACATTGGCAGTAATGTCCCCAAATATGTGAAAAGGCTATAATAGGAGGGAATCTTCTCAGGAGGCCAACTATGAATACTAAGAGTGGGAGTCAGAGCCCAGAATCGTAGCAACAGAGGAAAAAATGGTTTTCACATATTAACACCCATTATTTCCCTTTGGCCATACAGTAATGGAGCTACCTTTTTAGGTGGATCCTCTGGCTGGCTGTAGACATCCTTTGCTCACTTCTGTCATCCCTTAAAAAATGGTCATTGTGGCCTACTAGACTTTTGCCCAATGTCTAGTCCGGACCAGGAGTAGGAGATAGATAAGTCTGGCAGTGGCATCAATAGCACCTATTACTTAAGGGATTCTCCCTGCTAATGAAAGATTGTGACAAACGCCGCATTGCCTGGACGTTCGCCACGGGCTCCTGGAGGAGTGTGGAGGCTAGCCTTCTGCCCACTGACTATGGGCCATAGAAAAGGCTGGTAAAAAGACTTGGTTCGTGTTAGAAGATAGGACCATGTGTGCAGCCGGTCAGAACTTTACCCCTGGGGCGTTTCTGCTGTGTTGGGATCTGCACGCTTTTTGGATATGGTTGGCGCTCAGATCCAGGCTATCCGGGGATGTATAAACTACAGGGATTCCTACGTGGGAAATGTGTGATTTTGTGTGTTTTTCATATTTTGTCATTTATTGCAGAGTCATGATGACATTGCATTTTGTGGACATTTTGTGAGTGTGTTTATGGGAGTGTCATGGGCATGTTTCCTGTCTCTTTGTATTTAAGTGGGCCATTGAGCCTGGATTAAACAGATTCATTTTACCCTTCATCAAGTCTAGGCTGATGTTGTGGGAACTTGGGCTATAATCATTACTGCGTTTGGGACTTGGGAGATTCATAACGGATATACTCAGCCGGAGTATAGGAGATCCGTTAGAAAGATCAACCTTTATTTATAGCTCGCACTTTCCTTTTGCCTCTGTTAGTTTCACTTGTTCATGGACTTTATATAAACACAACAAATAGTCATGTTACCCGATATTGTTTGCAGTTTTACACTTTTTTTGCATTGCCATCCTCATGCCTGTATAACTAAATATTTTGACCTAAACACCTCAAGTATTATTTATTTACTTTTTGCAACACTTTTTGTCCAGCTATCTGGGACGGGTTTTGACACAGTGTTGGTCTACTCCAGGCCTGTCCAACCTGTGGCCCCCAGATGTTGCTGAACTACAACTCCCATGATTCTTCCAATGACACAGATAGCCATGAAAGCATGGGAGTTGTAGTTCAGCAACATCTGGGGGGCTGCAGGTTGGACAGCCCTGGTCTACTTATATTTGCTTGGTAACTGACAATCCAATGTTCTCTGGTCCAGACAATGACCTTCATGGTCTGATTTACTTGTCTTTATTATCAAAAAACTCTTTTGTCTATTTTGAAGTGATGCTTTTTATTTTCACCGACTTTCATATTCCCAATATATTATGTTGTACTGTCTCTTGTAAAATGAGATCAAACAAACAAAAACTTGTATGTATACATTAGAGAAGAAGGTGGATAGAAACAGACTTGACTTTAGGTTGATGCAATCATTTAGTAACCGTTGAAACAAAACCATTAGCTATCCAAAGCGTACCTTAAGATACACAAATTTAATAGCACCGTATCAGAATGAAGTCTTAAAAGCAGTTTATTTTGCATTGTGAAGACTATCACAGATTTAAACGGTGTACATAAACAGTACCGTTTGCCCCTAACCCACACTTCTAGAATAGAAGAATTTTTAAAAAGATCAATAGAATGAATCAAAGTGGAAAGGTGTGAGCTTGTATCCTGTTCCAGTGTAAAACTTGTTTTGGAACTCCACCCTACAGAGAAGAAGAAGAAAAAAAAAAAAAGTGTTTAAATAAAATAAACAAGCTGCATTAAGAAAAAAAAATTAAAAAAAAATAAAAAACACAATCATATATGCTTTGCCACACAGTCCTAATGTGATTTTCAAAGAACTTACCAGTGCAGACGCAGAGCATGTAAAAAGGCTGAGAGTCCCTCCATGATGAGGAGGATAGCAACTGTCAGGACAGCGAAGAATGTGAAGATAACGAAAATAACAATGCTCCATACGTAACTCACATTTGAAAAGCCAATGCGCATAACCATATTCCACAGGACCTCTGAAAGCTCTGAGAAATAATGGATATTGAAAAAAAAAAATAAGAGGCAGATTCTCTATTGCTTTTATAAACCTGTCCAAAATAAAAAAATATATATGACTGGGGGGGGATGTCCGAGCTGCGTTTAGGGGCGGCATTTTTTGCCGCCCCCTAGATAGTGCCGCCCAAGGCAAATGCCTATTTTGCCTTGGGCTAAATAAGGCAGTGCGTACAGAAAGGTCTATGGGTAGGTATATGTTGCAAGTAGTAGGGCATATGCATTGTTTGGATATCATTTTATATCTTAAATAAGGACATTATAGGTGTATGAAAACATTTTGGTTTACAGAGCGGCTTACCCGAACAAACAACTGCACTGATCTGTTAGCAAGTATGAATTTCTACAGACACTGGAGAAAACCTGGCACTATATCTATAGATGATGCATGCCCCTTCAACTCTAAATAAAGGTGTCACCCACAGCCCTACTTGAGGTATGTTTAAAACAGATTTATGCACTTTCTTCTAGCCATAGAAATCCATGCCAGCAATGGATGCTGTGATAGGCTGAAAGCAGTCAGCTGAAATGCTCAGCCAATTACTGCTACCAATTACTATTACTGCTTCCTCTTTAGCCCCAGCAGCACAGATCGTACAGAATGCTCGGGACGATTATTTAGCATTACAACATTTAAAAAACGGTATAGCAGTAAACCGGAAGCTAGAACCAGGGGATTCCAGACACTATAACCACTTCAATGAAAAAGCAGTTAAAATGCCTACAGTGTCCCATTAAGTAGAAGCACACTAAATAGGGATATCATTTATTAAGTATTGCCCAATGGTTTTACTGGAATGTATATGAAATCCTATGGAAAATGTACACAAAACACAGGTCTTAAACTGTAGGTTAACCGTCACGTTAATAGCCAGTAACCTATGCTTCTTTTTGCACCATTTTACTCATTACAATTAGTGGAAAATCCCGCTGACATTTGGATCACAGGATCTTATACATATTGCAAGGGTCTATATTCTCACAATTGTAAAAACACCAAAAAGTTGTGAAAACTCCCTGCAAGTAATAAATAAATGAATGGTGTGTAAGCTGACGTTTGAGTAGTATCGGTCTCTCTCATTCCCCTACAGGTTTTTAGAATATGTATTTTTTGTTCACATTGAAATGCCATAGTATAAGCAATGGGGGAGAGAAATCAGCATTGCACTACAATTCAAATCATGAAGCTAAACTCCTAACGAGAAGGTTAAGAAAATAGATAAAATTGTTTGATATTTACGTGCATGTGCCAGGCTTAGAGCCCAAAGCCGTAGGTAAGATGCAGTATTAGAGATGCAGCCCAAACAGTACTCAATGGTGTGAATCATCTGATGCATGAACACCTCTGAAGCGTCAAACTGTAAAGAGAGATACGGCTTAACAATGTAGATGTACAAATGGTGGAACAGTGCTAATTCATCTGTACACATGTAGAATAAAAAAAAGTGTATTTAGATTGTATTATTTTTTTGAAGCAGAATGTTGGATGCTCTAAGAAAACAAATAAAATAAAGTCTGATCATTTAAAGGATTATGGCCTTCTTTTAATAAATTTTCCAAACGATTCAATACGGTTAGAAGAATTTTCCAAATGATTTAGCTAGAGAAGTCAACATTAACATCTATTGGAATGTTTTTTGATAAATCATTTGGAAAGTATATATATTTATTAATTAGTCTTTAGTACATCTAGGGATATAGCGAAACATAACAAAATTAAAAAAAAATTTAATTTAGTTTAAAGCTAATAATTGCTGCCGGAGGCCGGTGGGCGAGGGTTTGTATTATGTGGTTTCTACTCAAGCTCACAGGGTAAAACTTGATTACGATATTGTATCCAAGGGTCCCAATTATTCTTATATATCAGAGTTGACTTTGTATCCCTTTTAAAAAAATGCTTTTGTGCATCACATTAAAAAGTTTGTGTTTGTATTTCAGCCCATGTTGGAATAGTTGAATTTCTCCAATATCTGGCTAAGCAGATTTTTGCTGCTGCATAAATATTAATATAGAGATATTTCTTGTGTTTATCAGATGATGGGAGATCAATGTGGAATAGGAAATGAGAGGTCAGCCTATATTGTATACCGAAAAGATCTCTGATCTGTTGCTCTAAATCCCCTTTAAGAAAGAAAAGTATAGGACAGTCCCACCAGATATGTACGTGAGAACCTATAGGATTTTGACATCTCCAGCATTGATTCACTTGAGTGGAATACATTTTTGAGAGACTGGCAGGGACTATATACCATTTTTGGACTACTTTAACCCCTTAAGGACCAAACATCTGGAATAAAAGGGAATCATGACATGTCACACATCATGTGTCCTTAAGGGGTTAAACAAAATATTGTTCATGTTGAAGTCTATATTTTAAAGGAAGATAACATTAGAAATTCCTTATGTTCTTTTATGCTATTAATCCATTACCTTTCAAGTGGAAATTCTTCATATACAAAGGTTTAGAATGCCAAACTAGGACCACACTAATGATTTGTAAGGAACCTAAATCATGGACATAAATCATGTCATTTTCACCTTGGCCAATAACTGAAAACTGGCTGGTGCACCAAATATGACAAGAGTTCAACAGATACATAACACAAGTATGACAGTGGTCATTGCAAAGCTAACCTTTCCAGGGAATTATTAGTTGCGTTCCTTGCCTGTTACCAGGTCCCGGATGGAGTTAGAACACAAGTAGGAGCAACTGCATTTACAGAGTCCTGTTGCATCAGCTTTGATGCTGAATGCTAGAATCAGACAGGATGAGGTGATTAACGCTATATTCTCTGATTCAAACGCACGATGGCTACTCAAGTTATGTGGAGTGATCGGAAATACACTCATAATATGGCTTGTCAATCTCAACAAGATGGTTTGCTTTAAGCAATCTTTTTATTATAGAGTAAAAGTTGAAAGATCATTATGGAACCCAGCGCACGAATACGGATCACTATCCCACCTGTTCACAATTCGCAACGGAACTCGCCAGGGGTGCCCCCTCTCCCTACTCCTGTTTGCCCTCTCTCTGGAGCCCTTTCTTGAGGCAGTCAGACTGGACGGGGACATACACAGGATTGACGCATAATGTCGCGGCATACACTCACTACCTGCTCTTCTTACTGGAGGCACCCATTGTGGGGGGGAGGGGGGGGGTGGGGTGTGTGTGGTGTGTGGTGTGTGTGTGTGTACACATACATTATACACACACACTTTCCAAATGATTTATCAAAAAACATTCCAATAGATGTTAATGTTGACTTCTCTAGTTAAATAATTTGGAAGATTCTACCGAATCTCTTGAAGGCCTTCGACACATATGATAAACTAGCAAATCTTAAATTGAACTTGGACAAATCCAAAGCGTTACCACCAACGATTCCACAGAAGGAGATCGTAACACTTGACTCAATTCCAGTTTAAGTGGTGCACACGACAGATAAAATATCTGGGCATATGGCTGACCAAGGACCTTGACTGGCTCTATGCCGACTTCACGCCCCTACTGCGGATACAACAGGACGACTTAAAAAGATGGACATGTGTCTGTACATCTCCTGGTTTGGTCGGATCAATGCCATAAAAATGAATCTATTACCCAGAATACTCTACCTACTTCAAACAATACCAATTGTACATCCTAGAGACTTTTTCCAATCCATAGGCTCTGCCCTGATGCGGTTTGTGTGGAAGGGATGCTCACCTAGAATAAGACTGACTAGATCTGCCACTCCCCCCCTGTTTTTTTCCCTGTCTCTCCTCTTTTCCCTTCGCCACTCCCTTCCTCTAAATACATCACACAGAGTAGACACTGCACTAGACTGAACCGCTTACCAAATTAACCTAGTCAGGACCCGACAGAAAGACGCAACGCACATACAATAGGTGTACACAAACTACGGGGCATTTCCCTACCAAAGACAGACCTACAAACAGGAGACACAGGCCTGCAACGTAGCAGTTAGACTCCTTAAATGTCCCAGGCTCGATGACCCAGAACCTGACTGCCCCTGTTAAGGTTACGACCTGCTGTACATATTCCACAGAACCAGACCTTGTGCTTTATTGTGCAGAAAGCCTGTATAGAAAAGAATGAAACTGCAACAGAGCACATGTTTGAGTGCTGTGTAAATAGTAGCCACACCTTCGGGGTCTAGCCACAGTGAACCTATGTGTCCTCTCTAACAATAATGCTCCAAGACATTCCTAGAGATTGTGTGTTTATATAGTTCCCTTCTTTTCTTTTCCTTTACTGTAAGAAATGCACATCCTGTATCAAAATGGTCTTACTCCTGTAAACCCACTATACATCACGCAAATGCATACTCAATGATGCTGTTCACATACATTCTCTGACCTAAGGATATTTGGCACCCATCACATCATCTCTGTTTTACTGGAATGCCTGCCTTGATGTTTAGTACTGAAATTATAGATAAAATAAATTTTAAAAAAATTAAAAAAGTTGAAAGATAATTTAAGAAACCTTGAAGCATTAGCAATTTATAAGGGACACTAACCTCTTCACCATGAGCCTTCGCGTCTTTGGCCATATTTTTTTGATGTTCCTCATATTCTTCACTTTCAGCTTGAGGGGGATCTTCCACTAATAGAGGTCCATTGTCGCCATCATTTTCTGCATGCTTAAGAAAGGAAAAACAAAAGAAATTGGAGAGATTTCTTGCGGTCACAATGTAATACGCCAACATGCAGGATTCAGGACAGCAAGGGACGAGACAGGAAATAGCATAACCAGGACTTAAAGGGACACTATAGTCACCAGAACAACTACAGCTTAAGGTAGTTGTTCTGGTGATTATAATCATTTGCTGCCGGCATTTTTATGTAAACACTGCCTTTTCAGAAAAAAAGGCAGTGTTTACATTGCCCCTTAGGGAAACCTCCAGTGCCCACTCCTTAGATGGCTACTAGAGAAGCTTCCTAGGGCAGTGCCGTTCAGAGTCTTAACGCTCTGCATGGAGACGCTGAATTGGCCATGCTGGAGTTTGGCCCCACCACTGTTTTTTCCTCCTTTCCGATTTTAACCAATCCAATGCTTTGGATTGCTTAAAATCATAAATTATGATGTCAGCAAGGAGGCAGATGGGGTGGGGCCAGTTTGAAAATAAGGTAAATTTTATTAATTTTTAAGGGGGGAAAGCCATCTAAATGGTGGTTTTAACACTATAGGGTCAGAAATACATGTTTGTGTTAATTTAATGTTGGATAAGAAAGCATAGTCAGTAACGAGCCAAGATCAGGTATAGGGCTATGGAGGTTTAAATACCCTAACAGTAACTTGTGATTTGTCAAAGTCATGCCTGCGCCCCCAAAATGTGTGTGCATGAATGATGCAGACCAATGGGAGCCAGAAACTACTTCAACTGCTCCTATTGCATCTTTTAAAAAATAAAATAAAAAATAAAAACGCTCAAACCGCTCTTAATTGCTCACCATCGGGTGGCCCGCTCAGAAAGCGCAGTGATTGAACTGCACAGAGGATCACGACCCAGATAAGTACCGCTATACATGCATAAGCTAATTGCAATGGTCAGCAATTCAAATGTCATGGAGATTACCACAAACCTGGTTCAATTGCAGACTATGGCGTTTCTTCCTCTTATGTTGAATATAGAGACAAATGGGATCTCCAAGAAGAAGAACAGGGATGCACACCACAGCAACTATAACAAGAGCAAGCTGCACATTTTGCTGAAAGTATAGAAGAAGGAAACCTCTTTACAATACAAATAGGTTAGACAGTGAATAGAAAGTACAATCTCAAATGATACAATACATACATTATAAGGTGCTGTGGAATCTGTTGGCTCTATATGTATAAATGTTAATTATAATCCTAAATACGCTGATTAAACAGACCAAATTTAAAATAAATATAAAAACAAAATGAGATGTCACTGTTTAAAATGAACAACAATGTTACAAATATACTTCAATGTTCTGGGTCTCCCTTGTTAAAATACACTAAAAAAAAAAATAAGTAAAAAAAATAAAATAAAAAAGCTGCAGTAAAATTCACCTTTATCCCAGCACCAGGACCTCGTCCTCGCAGCAGCCTTCATATCAGGTCTGATCAAATGCTTCTCAAATAGAGGCAATCTGGACCTACAGCACACTCACTACAATCACCTTGCTCAGCTAATCCAATGATTTTCAGAGTAACACTGAATCCAACATTAAAGCATTAGCAGTGTTCCATGTCATGACAGAAAATAAAGACCTTAGATTTTTAAAGATCTTCATAAGGAAGTGCCTCCAGTTACTGTTAGTCTGACAGTCACTAAAGGCAAGTTCTTGGCCAACTATAAAACACATTTTATATTGTCAGAGTAAAGGGACAGGGTCTGTGCATCTAAACCACTACATTAAAGATGTAATGGTTTTGGAGCACAGATTATCCCTTTAACCGATTAAGCCCATACTAAATAGCTTTAAAGTGTTACTCAAAAGTACATCAATGAAAACAGCATAAGGGAATAATTGCAATACACGGTTTAGTTGACAATCTTCTGTGTACAAGTCTTTTTAAACCTCAGTTGCTTAAGGGACCACTATTAGGCATCCAGACCACTTCCGCTTAATGAAGTGGTCTGGGTGCCAGGTCCAGCTAGGTTTAACCCTTTTCATAGAAACTGCTATGTTTCTAAATGGGTTAATCCAGCCTCTAGTGGCTGTCTAATTGACAGCCGCTAGAGAGCTTCCGCGCTTCTCACTGTGATTTTCACAATGAGAAGACACCAGCGTCCATAGGAAAGCATTGAGAATGCTTTCCTATGAGACTGGCTGAATGTGCGCTCGGCTCCTGCCGTGCATGCAGCCGAAGAGGAGGAGAGGAGGAGGAGGAGAGCTCCCCGCTGGAGGAAGAGGTAAGTTTAACCCCTTCCTCACCCTAGAGCCCAGCAGGAGTGGGACCCTGAGGGTGGGGGAACCCTCAGGGCACTATAGTGGTCCTTTAACAGGAAACATGTCCCCAGAATACGGCCAGCCAACTTAAACAGTCCATCCTCTTATTTACTAACTTTCCATTATTGTGGTTTATTAAAAGTATTTTTCTTACTTGTTTAGCTTTTGTTTTTGGTTGTGTATTGCTGGTCCATTTTACAGATTAACAGGAAGTCCAATTACTTGCACAATACTTTATGAATTCTGATTATTGCAATGCAGGTATTATAGAATACCTTCTCTTTAATCTAGTACGGCAGCAATAATGTAGCAGTGCAGGTATTTAGGGACACTGATATTTTTACGGTTATCAGAGTATTATTTTGAATGCTTTTTTAATGTTCTACAGTAGGACATTTACCAGTTTTGTATCTCAAATAAAAAATAAATAAATTAAAAAAAAAAAAAAAAAAAAAAGGGATTTAGATGAACTGCCACATAAACACCAATGTTTATGGTAAAACTGTAGGCGTTTCCATTTTTTCCTGAACTTTTTCCAATTGTAAGCTTGAATTGGCAGGGCAGTCTTCACTTCCTGTTCTCATATGCCAAATGTGTTTTGTCAAAATTATTATTTTTTTAAATATATATTGAACAGCAGTGCAGAATATGTTGGCAGTATATAAAATAGTTGTGATTGTAACTTTGGGAATAATATCCCTAATTAGACAATTCACATACACTTGTTGTGAATATATCTTACAAATCTCACTAGTGCATTAACTAAAACAATACCTTAAAATATCTTACTGTGTGTTAAAAGCAATAAAATACAAACTGTAGAGGTCTGAACACTGAAGACACATAGGCAGTTAGGCTGTACATAGGTGGAAATCCTCCAGCAAAACAGAAAAAGAACATCCACATGGTGAAAGTTACAGAATCACAACCTGTGTGCACAGTCCCATTTCTTGTTATTGTAAACAGAGTGCAATCGGTGTGTGTTCACCAAGAACTTGACTTTCTCAGTCTTTATAGAAAACCCAGCCTTGTTTAAACTAGCATGCACATGGTAAAGCTTTTTCCTCTGTGAATATCTCAGCTCTGGAAATAGTCTTAAATTTACAGACACACCCAAGCCTCTTCCAGCACCCGGTGCAGATTGGGCAGTTGTGATAAAAAAAAAGTGTTAGAGTGGAACACAGAAACTGGGAAGGCGTTCCTTAGCCTGTAAAGAAAGAAGAACAAGCTCACAGGCCAAGCAATCCTTCACAAAAGCCAGACAGAGTGCAGAGAACTCCGCTTCCTGACTGGTCTGTCCTTACGACAGGCAGACACTGGGGAGGAGGTCAGAGTGGTGTTGCCCTTTATAAGGTTAGGAAGGGTGGAGACTGCATTTTATTTTTTAACCTTTTCAATGAAACTTGTCCTGTGAGAGAAAAGGCAACTTTCCATTTGTGAGGACTACAACTTGGACTTATTCAAAATCGTCCTTAGATGGCTACTAGAGAAGCTTCCTAGGGCAGTGCCGTTCAGAGTCTTAACGCTCTGCATGGAGACGCTGAATTGGCCATGCTGGAGTTTGGCCCCACCACTGTTTTTTCCTCCTTTCCGATTTTAACCAATCCAATGCTTTGGATTGCTTAAAATCATAAATTATGATGTCAGCAAGGAGGCAGATGGGGGCGGGGCCAGTTTGAAAATAAGGTAAATTTTATTAATTTTTAAGGGGGGAAAGCCATCTAAATGGTGGTTTTAACACTATAGGGTCAGAAATACATGTTTGTGTTAATTTAATGTTGGATAAGAAAGCATAGTCAGTAACGAGCCAAGATCAGGTATAGGGCTATGGAGGTTTAAATACCCTAACAGTAACTTGTGATTTGTCAAAGTCATGCCTGCGCCCCCAAAATGTGTGTGCATGAATGATGCAGACCAATGGGAGCCAGAAACTACTTCAGGCTCCTATTGCATCTTTAAAAAAAAAAAAAAAACGCTCTTAATTGCTCACCATCGGGTGGCCCACTCAGAAAGCACAGTGATTGAGCTGCACAGAGGATCACGACCCAGGTAAGTACCGCTATACATGCATAAGCATAAGGATTATTTAGGACTTTTAAAACCCATGCATTTAAATAGTTTTATGATATTACACACTTTCCATTCAATAACTATGATACTACAGTTTCCCATTTGGTAAGTAAATTTTCATGTGATTTCCTTGGTACTGTACCTTTATAGTAAAAGGACATCTATAAAGTTAGTGATGGTGCACAACCTGAGAAAGTCTGGTAAGGGTTTAACACGTTGATGCAATATGTAACATTGTCCATGTGCACAAGACACTAGAAATTTATGTAGATGTGGATAAGAGGATGGACTGTTTAGGTTGGCTGGTCATATTCTGGGACTGGTTTTACAGTCATTAAGGAGGTAAAGTTAATAGCCTCTTGTGTTAAATGGCAGATAATTGAGCAGTGAGACTGCAGAGGCATGATCTATACGCCAAAACTGCTTCTTTAAAATAAAAGTTGTTTTGGTGACCCTTTAATCTCAGCTGATATTTCATATGTTTTTATACCATAGTTGCTAGTATTACAATTGGCATTAACCTGATAATGGCCTTGATTTAATATTTTTGGATATACTTTTCAAAGGATTTCATATTATGAAGATAGTTTAATATATTTTTACATTTTTATATTTTGAAAAATAATTTTAAATGTTTCACCCTCGCTGCAACAACCCCCCCAGCCCCCACCAAAAAAATCAAGGCCAATGCTATTAACGCTTACCTGTCCTTCGTAAAGATAGATATTTACACTGCTTTTAGTAAACAGGAACATGTCAATGAAGTGTATGAGGATACTCGGGGCATCTTTGGCATCTACCACCGTCCACACCAACCACTTATACACAACCATAAATACCAGGTACCCAAAAAGACAAAGCAGGAACAGCAGCTCCGGTAGAGACACAACAAAAATCCGATATATTTGTTTGAGGTGACTGCATACAAAAAATAAATAAAAATACACAAATGTTCAACAGGAAAATTATGTGCACATCAAAATAGGAGACAATATTTTCACAAAACTGAGGGGAAAAAAAATAAAATCATTCAAGTCTAAAGATTTGAATATATTTAAGAAAATGTTAATTCTCCATTAAATAGATGGTGCTGTTCATCAATTCAGTGTTAAACAATGTTGCCAGGGCTAAGGTTTGAGCCCTGCATAGGTGTACAATTAACACACACGTTTGTGATTAATGGAGAATGTTTTGCAGTAAATCATACTGTAATTAAAAGCAACTCTCAATGCAGCCTTGTATCCAAATATAGCATACATTAATGTGTACTGAAACCAACTCAAGTGAATGTGTGGAAGGATAAAAACGTACTTACAAATGTAATCATGCTAGAGCAGCAACACAAAATTGAATTTAGA